GTGTTGTCACCTGGATGTTTCATCACACATCACTCAGGCATTATTATTATTATTATACAGTATTTATAAAGCGCCAATAGTTGGCTCAGCGCTGTACATACAAAGGGGGACATGTGACAGAACAATACCAATACAATGTGATACACGAGGGGATCGAGGGCCTTGCTCCTTGGAGCTTACAATCTAGGAGGGAGGGGATGGTGGCACAGGAGGAGATAGCTGTGGGGGATGGAGTGGTAGGAAGAGTGGAGGAGGTTGGTCAAGTTAGCAGGGGGTGGGGTAGGCTTCCCTGAAGAGATGGGTTTTTTAGGGTGAGCCTAAAGGAGAGGAGAGTAGGTGATAATCTGATGGTTTGGGGCAGGGAGTTCCAGAGGATGGGTGACACCCTGGAGAAGTCTTGGAGGCGGGCATGGGAGGAGGAGACCAGGGAACTAGAGAGAAGGAGGTCTTGTGAGGAGCGGAGTGTGCGTGTTGGGTGGTACTTGGATATTAGGCATGGTCCACTGTTGTCACCATCAGGAAACCTGCCCTGAGAAATGCCGTGCCGCCATCACTAGATTGCAGGAGGGCAGGAAGTGGATGCTAATAGGAGGCAGGAGATCAGCAGCAGGTTGAAGCTAAATTCATTATTCCTCCGCTGTCCACAAATTCAATGTGCCCGGCACTTACATGGCTTTGCGGATCCCTCTTGCAGTTTTGGTCAATGTTCCTCTCTGATACGAGATGCTTTTCAAGAGACTAAAATCCAAATTGTTAGAAAATCGTCTGAATTTGAAATGTGTTTGGAAATCCATGCGTACTGGATGAGAGCGAACTGGTGGGAGAGAGAAGACAATTAATGAGCAGAAGATGCAACTTCCCCAGGACCAAGAGGAGCTGGAAGAACCTGGTGTCCACCCATCCATCTGCACCATCTATCTGTCCATCCATCCATTCACCTATCTATCTGTCCATCCATCACCCATCTATCTATCCATCCATTCACCTATCTATCCATCCATCCAAGGATACACCCCTCCATCTATCCATCCATTTACCTATCTATCTGTCCATCCATTCACCCATCTATCTGTCCATCCATCCACCTATCTATCTGTCCATCCATCCACCCATCTATCTATCCATCCATCAATTTGATTGCTCACCCGCCTGCCTGATCGTTCATCTATCCACCCATACAAATGGCTATTCTGTATCTTTCCGAAGATGGACCAAGTGACCAGGGCCAATGCATTGGGTATGTTGCTCACATAAGGCCACACAAGGCATTAAGATCTTCTTCACTACCCACCATAGTCCAACCAGAACCCTAGTGGGCAAGCTGGCAACTCCATACTGAGGAGCACAACATACAGAGGACCATCCATCCAAATATAAATACCTAAGCCTGGACCATAACAAAAATCTCCAAGTCTCTAGATGGTGGGAAGCCTCTCTCTCCTCTTGGCTGGATAAACTGTGCAGATCCCTGTAGGATAGCACCCAGGTGGTGTTGGGTTCCTCCCCTCTGTGTCTGAAGGATAGCACCTGGGTGGTGTTGGATCCTATCCCTCTGTGTCTGTAGGATAGCACCCGGGTGGTGTTGGATCCTATCCCTCTGTGTCTGTAGGATAGCACCTGGGTGGTGTTGGGTTCTTACCTCTGTGACTGTAGGATAGCACCCCGGGTGGTGTTGGGTTCTTACCTCTGTGACTGTAGGATAGCACCCGGGTGGTGTTGGGTTCTTACCTCTGTGTCTGTAGAATAACACCCGGGGGTGTTGTTGGTTCTTACCTCTGTGTCTGTAGGATAGCACCCGGGTGGTGTTGGGTTCTTACCTCTGTGTCTGTAGGAATAGCACCCGGGTGGTATTGGGTTCTTACCTCTGTGTCTGTAGAATAAACACCCGGTGGTGTTGGGTTTCTTGCCTCTGTGTCTGTAGGATAGCAGCACCCGGGTGGTGTTGGATCTTATCCCTCTGTGTCTGTAGGATAGCACCCAGTGGTGTTGGGTTCTAACCTCTGTGTCTGTAGGATAGCACCCTGGGTGGTGTTGGATCCTATCCCTCTGTGTCTGTAGGATAGCACCTGGGTGGTGTTGGGTTCTTACCTCTGTGTCTGTAGAATAACACCCGGTGGTGTTTGGGTTCCTCCTCCCCTCTGTGTCTGTAGGATAGCACCCGGGTGGTGTTGGGTTCTTACCTCTGTGTTTGAAGGATAGCACCCGGCTGATGTTGGGTTTTCTTACCTCTGTGTCTGTAGAATAGCACCCGGGTGGTGTTGGGTTCTTTAACTCTGTGTCTGTAGGATAGCACCCGGGTGGTGTTGGGTTCCTCCCCTCTGTGTCTGTAGGATAGCACCCGGGGTGGTGTTGGGGTTCTTACCCTCTGTGTCTGTAGAATAACACCCGGTGGTGTTGGGTTCTTACCTCTGTGTCTGTAGGATAGCACCCTGGGATGTTGGGTTCTTACCTCTGTGTCTGAAGGATAGCACCCGGGGTGGTGTTGGGTTCTTACCTCTGTGTCTGTAGGATAGCACCCGGGTGGTGTTGGGTTCTTACCTCTGTGTTCCTGAAGGATAGCACCCGGGTGGTGTTGGGTTCTTACCTCTGTGTCTGTGGGATAGCACCCGGGTGGGTGTTGGGTTCTTACCTCTGTGTCTGTAGGATAGCACCCGGTGGTGTTGGGGTTCTTACCTCTGTGTCTGTAGGATAGCACCCGGGTGGTGTTGGGTTCCACCCCTCTGTGTCTGTAGGATAGCACCCGGGTGGTGTTGGGTTCTTACCTCTGTGTCTGTAGGATAGCACCCGGGTGGTGTTGGGTTCTTACCTCTGTGTCTGTAGGATAGCACCCGGTGGTGTTGGGTTCCTCCCCATCTGTGTCTGTAGGATAGCACCCGGGTGGTGTTGGGTTCCTCCCCTCTGTGTCTGTAGGATAGCACCCGGGTGGTGTTGGGTTCTTACCTCTGTGTCTGTAGGATAGCACCCGGGTGGTGTTGGGTTCTTACCTCTGTGTCTGTAGGATAGCACCCGGTGGTGTTGGGTTCTTACCTCTGTGTCTGTAGGGTAGCACCTGGGTGGTGTTGGGTTCTTACCTCTGTGTCTGTAGGATAGCACCCGGGGTGGTGTTGGGTTCTTACCTCTGTGTCTGTAGGATAGCACCCGGTGGTGTTGGGTTCCTCCCTCTGTGTCTGTAGGATAGCACCCGGTGGTGTTGGGTTCTTACCTCTGTGTCTGTAGGATAGCACCCGGGTGGTGTTGGGTTCTTACCTCTGTGTCTGAAGGATAGCACCCGGGTGGTGTTTGGGTTCTTACCTCTGTGTCTGTAGGATAGCACCCGGTGGTGTTGGGTTCTTACCACCCGGTCTGTGTCTGTAGGATAGCACCCGGTGGTGTTGGGTTCCACCCCTCTGTGTCTGTAGGATAGCACCCGGTGGGTGTGTTGGGTTCTTACCTCTGTGTCTGTAGGATAGCACCCGGGTGGTGTTGGGTTCTTACCTCTGTGTCTGAAGGATAGCACCCGGGTGGTGTTGGGTTCCTCCCCTCTGTGTCTGTAGGATAGCACCCGGGTGGTGTTGGGTTCCTCCCCTCTGTGTCTGTAGGATAGCACCCGGGTGGTGTTGGGTTCTTACCTCTGTGTCTGTAGGATAGCACCCGGTGGTGTTGGGTTCTTACCTCTGTGTCTGTAGGATAGCACCCGGGTGGTGTTGGGTTCTTACCTCTGTGTGTCTGTACCCGGTGGGTGTTGGGTTCTTACCTCTGTGTCTGGTGATAGCACCCGGGTGGTGTTGGGTTCTTACCTCTGTGTCTGTAGGATAGCACCCGGTGGTGTTGGGTTCTTACCTCTGTGTCTGTAGGATAGCACCCGGTGGTGTTGGGTTCTTACCTCTGTGTCTGTAGGATAGCACCCGGGGTGGTGTTGGGTTCTTACCTCTGTGTCTGTAGGATAGCACCCGGGTGGTGTTGGGTTCTTACCTCTGTGTCTGTAGGATAGCACCCGGGTGGTGTTGGGTTCTTACCTCTGTGTCTGAAGGATAGCACCCGGGTGGTGTTGGGTTCCTCCCTCTCTGTGTCTGTAGGATAGCACCCGGGTGGTGTTGGGTTCTCCCCTCTGTGTCTGTAGGATAGCACCCCGGGTGGTGTTGGGTTCTTACCTCTGTGTCTGAAGGATAGCACCCGGGTGGTGTTGGGTTCTTACCTCTGTGTCTGTAGGATAGCACCCGGGGGTGTTGGGTTCTTACCTCTGTGTCTGAAGGATAGCACCCGGGTGGTGTTGGGTTCTTACCTCTGTGTCTGTAGGATAGCACCCGGGTGGGTGTTGGGTTCTTACCTCTGTGTCTGTAGGATAGCACCCGGGTGGTGTTGGGTTTCTTACCTCTGTGTCTGTAGGATAGCACCCGGGTGGTGTTGGGTTCTTACCTCTGTGTCTGTAGGATAGCACCCGGGTGGTGTTGGGTTCTTACCTCTGTGTCTGTAGGATAGCACCCGGGTGGTGTTGGGTTCTTACCTCTGTGTCTGTAGGATAGCACCCGGGTGGTGTTGGGTTCTTCCCCTCTGTGTCTGTAGGATAGCACCCGGGTGGTGTTGGGTTCCTCCCCTCTGTGTCTGTAGGATAGCACCCGGGTGGTGTTGGGTTCTTACCTCTGTGTCTGTCTCATTGAAGCTGTGAAATGACATGAGACACAAATTCCAGCATCTTATCGAAGTTGTATCTGACACAAGGTCACTGGCAGAGCCATCGATGAGGAAGACGATGTCCAGGCGGAAGCTGCATTCTGTGGATAGACCAGAAACCTATTGTAATCGCAGGAGGAGAGAAGAATGGACAATATGGCGTCTGTAGGTTCCGTGATAGACACGGCTTGGAGCTCCCCTCCCCCCCACTCAGAGAGACAGCCCCAGAAAGTGAGCAGACTCTGAGCTGTCTTATTAGAGCTCCTTCCCCCAGACTTCTTACCCCAGAGGAACCCTTCAAGTCCCAGAGAACCCCCACTGAACGAATTTATAGGTGATCAGTGTGAAGAATGTCCCTTACATTGGGGGTCAGTGGGAAGAATGTCCCTTACATTGGTGGATCAGTGGGAAGAATGCCCCTTACATTGGGGGTCAGTGGGAAGAATGTCCCTTACATTGGGGGTCAGTGGGAAGAATGTCCCTTACATTGGGTGTCAGTGGGAAGAATGTCCCTTACATTGGGGGTCAGTGGGAAGAATGTGTCCTTACATTGGTGGTCAGTGGGAAGATTGTCCCTTACATTGGGGGTGTGGAAGAATGTCCCTTACATTGGGGGTCAGTGGGAAGAATGTCTCTTACATTGGGGGTCAGTGGGAAGAATGTCCCCTTACCATTGGGGGTCAGTGGGAAGAATGTCCCTTACATTGGGGGTCAGTGGGAAGAATGTCCCTTACATTGGTGGATCAGTGGAAGAATGCCCCTTACATTGGGGGTCAGTGGAAGAATGTCCCTTACATTGGGGGTCAGTGGAAGAATGTCCCTTACATTGGGTGGTCAGTGGGAAGAATGCCCCTTACATTGGGGAGTCAGTGGGAAGAATGTCCCTCTACATTGGTGGTCAGTGGGAAGATTGTCCCTTACATTGGGGATAGTGGGAAGAATGTCCCTTACATTGGGGGTCAGTGGGAAGAATGTCTCTTACATTGGGGGTCAGTGGGAAGAATGTCCCTTACATTGGGGGTCAGTGGGAAGAATGTCCCTTACATTGGGGGTCAGTGGGAAGAATGTTCCCTTACATTGGGGGTCAGTGGGGAAGAATGTCCCTTACATTGGGGGGTCAGTGGGAAGAATGTCCCTTACAATTGGGGGTGTGATCAGTGGGAGAATGTCCCTTACATTGGGGGGTCAGTGGGGGAAGAATGTCCCTTACATTGGTGGTCAGTGGGAAGAATGTCCCTTACATTGGTGATCAGTGGGAAGAATGTCCCTTACATTGGGGGTCAGTGGGAAGATTGTCCCTTACATTGGGGGTCAGTGGGAAGATTGTCCCTTACATTGGGGGTCAGTGGTGAAGAATGTCCCTTACATTTGGGGTGGTCAGTGGGAAGAATGTCCCTTACATTGGGGGTGGTCAGTGAGAAGAATGTCCCTTACATTGGGGGTCAGTGGGAAGAATGTCCCTTACATTGGGGGTCAGTGAGAAGAATGTCCCTTACATTGGGGGTCAGTGGGAAGAATGTCCCTTACATTGGGGTCAGTGGGAAGAATGTCCCTTACATTGGTGATCAGTGTGAAGAATGTCCCTTACATTGGGGGTCAGTGGAAGAATGTCCCTTACATTGGGGGTCAGTGGGAAGAATGTCCCTTACATTGGTGGTCAGTGGGAAGAATGTCCCTTACATGGGGGTCAGTGGGAAGAAATGTCCCTTACATTGGGGGTCAGTGGGAAGAATGTCCCTTACATTGGTGATCAGTGGGAAGAATGTCCCTTACATTGGGGGTCAGTGGGAAGAATGTCCCTTACATTGGGGTCAGTGGGAAGAATGTCCCTTACATTGGGGGTCAGTGGGAAAATGTCTCTTACATTGGGTCAGAGGGAGAATGTCTCTTACATTGGTGGTTCAGGGAGAATGTCTCTTACATTGGGGGTCAGTGGAGAAGAATGTCCTTACATTGGGGTCAGTGGGAAGAATGTCCCTTACATGGGGTTCAATGGGAAGAATGTCCCTTACATTGGGGGTCAGTGGGAAGAATGTCCCTTACATTGGGGGTCAGTGGGAAGAATGTCCCTTACACATTGGGGGTCAGTGAGAAGAATGTCCCTTACATTGGGGGTCAGTGGGAAGAAATGTCCCTTACATTGGTGATCAGTGGGAAGAATGGTCCCTTACATTGGGGGTCGTGGAGAAAGAATGCCCTTTACATTTGGGGGTCAGTGGGTAAGAATGTCCCTTACATTGAGGGTCAGTGGGAAGAATGTCCCTTACATTGGGGGTCAGTGGAGAAGAATGTCCCTTACATTGGGGGTTCAGTGGAAGAATGTCCCTTACATTGGGGGGGAAGTCAGTGGGAAGAATGTCCCTTACATTGGGGGTTCAGTGGGAAGAAATGTCCCTTACATTGGGGGTCAGTGGGAAGAATGTCCCTTACATTGGGGTCAGTGGGAGAATGTCCCTTACATTGGGGGTCAGTGGGAGAAGAAATGTCCCTTACATTGGGGGTTCAGTGGGAAGAATGTCCCTTACATTGGGGTTAGTGGGAAGAATGTCCCTTACATTTGGGGGTCAAGCGGGAAGAATGTCCCTTACATTGGGGAGTCAGTGGGAAGAATGTCCCTTACATTGGGGGTGTCAGTGGAATAATGTCCTTACATTGGGGGTCAGTGGGAAGTAATCTTTTTACCTTGGTGATCAGTGGGAAGAATGTCCCTTACATTGGGGGGTCAGTGGGAAGAATGTCCCTTACGTTGGGGATCAGTGAGAAGAATGTCCCTTACGTTGGGGGGTTCAGTGGAAGAATGTCCCTTAACATTGGGGGGTCAGTGGGAAGAATGTCCCTTACATTGGGGGTCAGTGGGAAGAATGTCCCTTACATTGGGGGGTCAGTGGAAAGAATGTCCCTTACATTTGGGGGTTCAGTGGGAAGAATGTCCCTTACATTTGGGGGTCAGTGAGGTAAGAATGTCCCTTACATTGGGGGTCAGTGGGAATAAATGTCCCTTACATTGGGGGGTCAGTGGGAAGAATGTCCCTTACATTGGGGGTCAGTGGAAAGAATGTCCTTACATTGGGGGTCAGTGGGAAGAATGTCCCTTACATTGGTGGTCAGTGGGAAGAATGTCCCTTACATTGGGGGTCCATGTGGGAAGAATGTCCCTTACATTGGGGGTCAGTGGGAAGAATTGTCCCTTACATTGGAGGGTCAGTGGGAAGAATGTCCCTTACATTGGTGGACAGTGGGAAGAATGTCCCTTTACATTGGTGGTCAGTGGGAAGAATGTCCCGTTACATTGGGGTGTCAGTGGGAAGAATGTCCCTTACAACAAATTGGAGGTCAGTGAGAAGAATGTCCCTTACATTGGGGGTCAGTGGGAAGAATGTCCCTTACATTGGGGGGCAATGGGAAGAATGTCCCCTTACATTGGGGGTCAGTGGGAAGAATGTCCCTTACATAGGTGGGGTCAGTGGGAAAATGTCCCTTACATTGGAGGTCAGTGGGAAGAATGTCCCTTACATTGGTGGTCAGTGGGAAGAATGTACCCTTACATTGGGGGTCAGTGGGAAGAATGTCCTTACATTGGGGGTCCAGTTGAGAATAAAGTCCCTTACATTGGGGGTCAGTGGGAAGAATGTCCCTTACATTGGGGGCATCAGTGGGAAGAATGTCCCTTACACATTGGGGGGTCAGTGGGAAGAATGTCCCTTACATTGGGGGCGTCAGTGGGAGAAGAATGTCCCTTACATATGGTGTAGTCAGTGGGAAGAATGTCCCTTACATTGGGGGTCAGTGGGAAGAATGTCCCTTATCATTGGTGGTCAGTGGGAAGAATGTCCCTATACATTGGGGGTCAGTGAGAAGAATGTCCCTTACATTGGGGGTCAGTGGGAAGAATGTCCCTTACATTGGTGATCAGTGGGAAGATTGTCCCTTACATTGGGGGTCTCAGTGGGAAGAATGTCCCTTACATTGGGGGTCAGTGGGAAGAATGTCCCTTACATTGGGGGTCAGTGGGAATGAATGTCCCTTACATTGGGGGGTCAGTGGGAAGAATGTCCCTTACATTGGTGATCAGTGGGAAGAATGTCCCTCACATTGGGGTGTCAGTGGGGAAGAATGTCCCTTACATTGGGGGTCAGTGGGGAAGAATGTCCCTTACATTGGTGAACAGTGTGAAGAATGTGCCCTTGCATTGGGGTGTCAAGTGGGAAGAATGTCCCTTACATTGGGGGTCAGTGGGAAGAATGTCCCTTACATTGGGGGTCAGTGGGAAGAATGTCCCTTACATTGGGGGTCAGTGGAAGATTTTGTCCCTTACATTGGAGGTCAGCTGGGAAGAATGTCCCCTTACATTGGGGTCAGTGGGAAGAATGTCCCTTACATTGGGGTCAGTGGGAAGAATGTCCCTTACATTTGGGGGTCAGTGGGAAGATGTCCCTTACATTTGGAGGTCAGTGGGAAGAATGTCCCTTACATTGGGGGTCAGTGGGAAGAATGTCCCTTACATTGGGGGTCAGTGGGAAGAATGTCCCTTACATTGGGGGGTCAGTGGGAAGAATGTCCCTTACATTGGTGGTCAGTGGGAAGAATGTCCCTCAAACATTGGTGGTCAGTGGGTAAAGAAAATGGGTCCCTTACATTGGTTGGTCAGTGGGAAGAATGTCCCCTTACATTGGGTGGTCAGCTGGGAAGAATGTCCCTTACATTGGGGGTCAGTGGGAAGAATGTCCCTTACATTGGGGTCAGTGGGAAGAATGTCCCTTACATTGGGGGTCAGTGGGAAGAATGTCCCTTACATTGGTGATCAGTGGGAAGAATGTCCCTTAACATTGGGGATCAGTGGGAAGAATGTCCCTTACATTGGGGATCTGTGGGAAGAATGTCCCTTACATTGGGGGTCAATGGGAAGAATGTCCCTTACATTGGGGGTCAGTGGGAAGAATTGTCCCTTACATTGGGGTCAATGGGAAGAATGTCCCTTACATTGGGGGTCAGTGGGAAGAATGTCCCTTACATTGGGGGTCAGTGGGAAGAATGTCCCTTAACATTGGGGGTCAGTGGGAAGAATGTCCCTTACATTGGGGGTTCAGTGGGAAAATGTCCCTTACATTGGGGTCAGTGAGAGAATGTCCCTTAGATTGGTGATCAGTGGGAAGAATGTCCCTTACATTGGGGGTCAGTGGGAAGAATGTCCCTTACATTGGGGGTCAGTGGGTGGGAAGAATGTCCCTTACATTGGGGGTCAGTGGGAAGAATGTCCCTTACATTGGTGGTCAGTGGAAGAATGTCCCTTACATTGGGGGTCAGTGGGAAGAATGTCCCTTACATTGGGGGTCAGTGGGAAAGAATGTCCCTTACATTGGGGGATCGGTGGGAAGAATGCCCTTATACATTGGGGGTCAGTGTGGGTCAGGAAGAATGTCCCTTACATTGGGGGTCATCCAGTGGGAAGAATGTCCCTTACATTGGGGGTCAGTGGGAAGAATGTCCCTTACATTGGGGGTTCAGTGGGAAGAATGTTCCCTTAAATTGGGGGTCAGTGGGGAAGAATGTCCCTTACATTTGGGGTTCAGTGGGAAGAATGTCCCTTACATTGGGGGTTCAGTGGAAGAATGTCCCTTACATTGGGGGTCAGTGGGAAGAATGTCCCTTACATTGGGGGTCATTGGGAAGAATGTCCCTTACATTGGGGGTCAGTGGAAAGAATGTCCCTTACATTTCAGGGGGTCAGTGGGAAGAATGTCCCTTACATTGGGGGTCAGTGGGAAGAATGTCCCTTACATTGGGGGGTCAGTGGAAGAATGTCCCTTACATTGGGGTCAATGGGAAGAATGTCCCTTACATTGGAGGTCAGTGGAAAGAATGTCCCTTACATTGGTGGTCAGTGGGAAGAATGTCCCTTACATTGGGAGGTCAGTGAGAAGAATGTCCCTTACATTGGGGGTCAGTGGGAAGAATGTCCCTTACATTGGGGGTCAGTGGGAAGAATGTCCCTTACATTGGGGGGTCAGTGGGGTAAGAATGGTCCCTTACATTGGGGGTTCCCCATTGGGAAGAATCAGTCAGTGGAAGAATGTCCCTTACATTGGAGTTCACATTGTTGAGAAAGTATGTCCCTTACATTGGGGGTCTTACAGTGGAAGAATGTCCCTTACATTGGGGGTCAGTGGGAAGAATGTCCCTTACATTGGGGGTCAAGTTGGGAAGAATGTCCCTTACATTGGGGGTCAGTGGGAAAGAATGTCCCTTACATTGGTGATCAGTGGGAAGAATGTCCCTTACATTGGGGGTCAGTGGGAAGAATGTCCCCTTACATTGGGGGTCAGTGGGAAGAATGTCCCTTACATTGGTGGTCAGTGGGAAGAATGTCCCTTACATTGGTGGTCAGTGTGGAAGAATGTCCCTTACATTGGGGGTCAGTGGGAAGAATGTCCCTTACATTGGGGATCAGTGGGAAGAATGTCCCTTACATTGGGGGTCAGTGGGAAGAATGTCCCTTACATTGGTGGTCAGTGGGAAGAATGTCCCTTACATTGGTGGGTCAGATGGGAAGAATGTCCCTTACATTGTGGGTTCAGGTGGCAAGAATGTCCCTTACATTGGGGGTCAGTGGAAGAATGTCCCTTACATGGGGGTCATTGGGAAGAATGTCCCTTACATTGGGGGTCAGTTGGAAATAATGTCCCTTACATTGGGGGTCAGTGGGAAGAATGTCCCTTACATTGGGGGTCCAGTGGGAAGAATGTCCCTTACATTGGGGTCAGGTGGGAAGAATGTCCCTTACATTGGGGGTCAGTGGGAAGAAATGTCCCCTTACATTGGGGGTCAGTGGGAAGAATGTCCCTTACATTGGGGGGTCAGTGGGAAGAATGTCCCTTACATTGGGGGTCAAGGGAAAAATGTCCCTTACATTGGGGTCAGTGGAAGAATGTCCCTTACATTGGGGGTCAGTGGGAAGAATGGTCCCTTACATTGGGGGGTCATGTGAGAAGAATGTCCCTTACATTGGGGTCAGTGGGAAGAATGTCCCTTACATTGGGGTCAGTGGGAAGAATGTCCCTTACATTGGGGGTCAGTGGGGAAGAATGTCCCTTACATTGGAGGTCAGTGAGAAGTATGTTTGATCCCTTACATTGGGGTCAGTGGGAAGAATGTCCCTTACATTGGGGGTCAATGGAAGAATGTCCCTTACATTGGGGTCAGTGGGAAGAATGTCCCTTACATTGGTGATCAGTGGGAAGAATGTCCCTTACATTGGGGGTCAGTGGGAAGAATGTCCCTTACATTGGGGGTCAGTGGGAAGAATGTCCCCTTAACATTGGTGATCAGTGGGAAGAATGTCCCTTACATTGGGGGTCGTTGGGAAGAATGTCCCTTAACATTGGGGTTGTCAGTGGGGTAAGAATGTCCCTTACATTGGGGATCAGTGGGAAGAATGTCCCTTACATTGGGATCAGTGGGAAGAATGTCCCTTACATTGGGGGTCAGTGGGAAGAATGTTCCCTTACATTGGGGGTCAGTGGGAAGAATGTCCCTTACATTGGGGGTCATAGTGGGAAGAATGTCCCTTACATTTGTGGTTTTCGTGGCAAGAGAAATGTCCCTTACATTGGGGTCAGTGGGAAGAATGTCCCTCACATTGGGGGGTCAGTGGGAAAGGAATGTCCCTCACATTGGGGGTCAGTGGGGAAGAATGTCCCTTACATTGGGGGTCAGTGGGAAGAATGTCCCTCACATTGGGGTTTCAGTGGGAGAATGTCCCTTACATTGGGGGTCAGTGGGAAGAATGGTCCCTTACAATTGGGGGTCAGTGGAAGAATGTCCCTCACATTGGGGGGTCAGGTGGAAGAATGTCCCTTACATTGGTGTCAGTGGGAAGAATGTCCCTCACATTGGGGGTCAGTGGGAAGAATGTCCCTCACATTGGGGGTCAGTGGGAAGAATGTCCCTCACATTGGGGTCAGTGGGTGAAGGACATTCCATTGCCATTCTCTTACTGGACTAAGATGAGATGAGTGACATAGTCAGCCATCTATCTGCAGTATTTTCTCACACAGCCAGTCTTACCCGGCAGAGACATTGGCACAGTGTAGCTTCTCCTCAGCTTCCCATCCAGATGGTGGCAGCGTCCATTGACGTAGATGTTGTGTCCACAAGTTCTCTGCAGGGTGGGACCACAAACCTGGAAGATGGAGCGAGAGGTGAGGGGGGGGGGGGGGGTAAAACCTGGATGACTAGAAAACTAATACTTCACCCTCCTCTGCAAATCAGAGCCCCCAAGGAGCTTTCAGAGACCCCAAGGAGACTTCAGAGACCCCGAGGAGCCTGCAGAGGCACCAAGGAGCCTTCAGAGACCCAGAGGAGCCTTCAGAGACACTGTGGAGCCTTCAGACACCCGGAGGAGCATTCAGAGACACCGAGGAGCCTTCAGAGGACCCTGAGGAGCCTTCAGAGACCCTGAGGAGCCTTCAGAGACCCCCAAGGAGCCTTCAGAGACCCCGAGGAGCCTTCAGACACCTCGAGGAGCATTGAGATACACCGAGGAGCCTTCAAAGACATCGAGGAGCCTTCAGAGACACCGAGCAGCCTTCATAGACACAGAGCAGCCTTCAGAAACACAGAGCAGCCTTCAGAGAGACACAGAGCAGCCTTCAGAGACACTGAGGAGCCTTCAGGAACCCAAGGAGCCTTCAGAGACCTGAGGAGCCTTCAGAAACCCCAAGGAGCCTTCAGAGACCCCGAGGAGCCTTCAGACACCTCGAGGAGCATTTCAGATACACCGAGGAGCCTTCAAAGACATCGAGGAGCCTTCAGAGACACAGAGCAGCCTTCAGAGACACCGAGCAGCCTTCAGAGACACTGAGGAGCCTTCAGAGACCCCGAGGAGCCTTCAGAGACACTGAGTAGTCTTTAGACACCTCGAGGAGCATTTAGGGAGACACCAAGGAGCCTTCAAAGACACAGAGCAGCCTTCAGAGACCCTGAGGAGCCTTCAGAGAGGAGACCCCGAGGAGCCTTCAGAGACACTGAGAGGAGCCTTCAGAGACCCCGAGGAGCCTTCAGGGAGACACCGAGGAGCCTTCTCGGAGACACCGAGGAGCCTTCGGAGACACCGAGGGAGCCTTCGGAGACCCCGAGGAGCCTTCAGAGACCCCGAGGAGCCTTCAGAGACCCCGAGGAGCCTTCAGAGACACTGAGGAGCCTTCAGAGACTCCAACAATCCCACCAGCCTGGGACTGTGTTTGTGACTTTGCTCGGGTTTGAGTGATTTTCTTCTAACCAGAGACTGAAGCAAGTCATTTATATCATTTTTTGTAGAAAACACCCCAAATATGGACACAACACACATGGAAGACACCCCTTAGTTGTTCCATTCGTGGAAGCTGAACAAAACTTCACCTTATGTATTCTAATAGATGAATTCCAGTTCCATCAGCTCCATCTAGTGGCCAAAATGCGGTATAATTTCTCACTGAGGGTATTTCTCAGAAAACGATACCACCGTACGGCCACTAGATGGAGGTAATGATACAGGAATTCATCTATTAGTATACATACGGTGACATCACATTCAGTGTTTCTGACATTCATGCAGAAAAGGTTTCATAAAGGGGACCTCCTGGCATTATTTTTTCAGGCTTAAGGTTTTAGTTTCAGCCAATGGAAAGCTAGTTTCCAGAAAATGAGAGGGCAAGGGATCCCATGAAACGCAAGCATTTTCAGGCTTTTTTGACAGGCCCTCCTTAGTCCCAGTCTGTGTGGGACAGTATGGGCACCTGCTGACTTGGCACTATCCACAGGCAGCTTCACTCTTCACTAGAAGCAAGATATACCTGCGCCCAAATCCCACTAGCTGGTACATGCATTTATCTGTCAGGGCTGAAGGGGTGCAGCCATTGAATAACCCCGGAAATCCCGGGGGAACCCTCTGCACACTGCTAACTGACCCTTTCCTGTCTAACTCTTCAATAGAACACAGAAGTTGAACCCAATTGCAGGTTTACCTCGGATAATGGCACTGCAGAGGACGTGTAGGAAGACAATCGCTCTCCTAAAACCCTGAATACCACGGACTGAGGGAACATAGAAGAAATGGGGAGGGTCTAGGGAAGACTGAACTAACTAGCACTAAACTGAAGGGAAGAAACCAAGATCACATTGTAAACCACTTGTGGTGGCCCTAAACCATCGGCTGGATGTCAGCCTAAAACTGCCAAGCAACAATAGCCTCATGAATATTTACTGGAACCCCTGCGTGTCTGTGGAAGAGCAGTGCGTTTCGTTCGCCCGCCATACGGGAACACACGAGGTTGTGCATGTCGTTCCCAAAGCCTAGGCTCAGGATCCCCATTACCCCAAAGCTGCTACTACCGTGGTATGTACGGGTTGTCCCAGGACAATCCTGCAGGGAGCACCCCCATGTCCCCAATGAGGGGAGGCCAAGGTCCCTTATGACAGCGACGAAACGCGTCGTATAACAACCAGACCTTGCTGCCGGAATACCCGAGTTCAGAGCATTTAGAGGGTGGAATGGAAGATTCTGAGCGGCGTATCTACAGAGCTGAAAGCAGGCAAGTCTGTACCACAATACCCTCATTGTTCCCGCCCACCGGTAACAGGAGGAGATCGGATCGGACTTTGCTGGGATTGCTTGCCTTCCTCTGGATCATGCTGTGGGTGGAGGATCATAACTTGTTCTTTTCTATGGTGGAACTGGATGGCTTTTGTCTTTTTTTCAGCCACACTAACTATGGAGCTATGTAACGTATGTAACTATGTATCACTATGTAACTATGTATCACTATGTATCACTTATGTAAACTATGTACACTATGTAACTATGTATTCACTATGTATCACTATGTAACTATGTATCACTATGTAACTATCGTAACTATGAGCTATGTATAACTAATGTAATCACTATGTAACTATGTAACAATGTATCACTAAGTAACTATGTAACTAATGTAATCACTATGTAACTATGTATCACTATGTAACTATGTATCACTATGTATCACTATGTAACTATGTATCACTATGTAACTATGTATCACTATGTACATTATGTAACAATGTATCACTATGTAACTATGTAACACTATGTAACTATGTAACAGTAACGACTATGTAACTATGTACCACTATGTAAACTATGTATCACTATGTAACTATGTATCACTATGGTAACTATGTAACACTATGTAACTATGTAACACTATGTAAACTATGTATCACTATGTAACATGTATCACTATGTAACTATGTAATCACTATGTAACTATGTATCTCTATGTATCTCTATGTATCACTATGTATCACTATGTAACAATGTATCACTATGTAACTATGTATCACTATGTATCTATGTATCACTATGTATCTCTATTGTATCTATGTATCACTATGTATCTCTATGTATCACTATGTATCACTATGTATCACAATGTAAC